GAGTCCCTGTGAGTTAGGAGAGGGCACAATAGACCTAAGGTCGTAGTGCATTCCTCATTTATTTATCTATCTATCTATCTATACATGCTATGGCATCAAATGTCGTACCTATATTATTTCTCTTCATATTCTCTGTTTGAGTATGTGGAGAACTGTTAAAAATGTTAACATTTCACATCGTGAATTCTGTGCTTGTGAGGTGAATTCCCTATCACAATCTTATAAAATGTTCGACATCGAACCTGCACCTTCTCTATGTTTTAAGTTCTCTGACTCAACCAAGTGTAGCAAAACTATTTTCAGCGGCTGTTAAGCAAGATGACGACGGACTTCGAGCTTCGTACAATATCTCTTTGTTAATTACTCAAAAAGTCAAACCACATAACATCGGAGGAGAGTTATATCCGAAAAATAATTCTGTGTAAAGACGAATTGATGAAATCTGAAAACATTGAAGAAGAAGCGTTATTCATAGACAAAATTTAGTTGCTAGAAACTTAAGTGAAAAACTATTTCAATTACTGCAATATGTCATCAAAGCAGTCAATAAAATCCGCAACAGCTCTTTTAATGATAGATTATTTCATGAAGATTTCAACCGTTTGTTGTTTCATACTAAAGATTGTTGGCTATCAAGAGGCAATTGGTTCACTTGATTTTACAACCTGTTTGACTCTGTTATATATATATATTAAAACAAAAAAATGCTTTTACACAAAAAGAATCTGGGCAGACGTGGGTTTCACAATTTTCCGAATTTATCAGGATCATGCAGTAACAACGAATTGTTTGCCTACTGCCAACATTTGGAAAACCTCCATATTGACTTCACCGAACGATACCAGGACATTTTGAACTTGGAAATACCAGACTGGGTGTTCGATCCGTTTTCAAATGTCATCACAGCAATGTTACCTCAGCTGGAAGAAGAACTTATAGAATTGACAACAAACGAGRAAATAAAAATCAAGTTCAAACATGGTTGCCAAGAATTTTGGCTACAAAAACCGATCCCGCAATTGTACCCTGAATTGTGGTCAATCGTTCAATGATTCTTGATAGCATTCCCATCGTCCTATTTGTGTGAACGTGGATATAGTGCTGTGACTTACTAAAAAGAGAAATCGTTTGCTTGTTACCGAACGTGGCGACTTGCGACTTTTCTTGTGTACCTGATATTAACAATCTTATTAAACAGCATCATATTCATCCTTCACATTAGTTTTTATATAAGGATCGATTATTTTAGTTTTATAAAAGATTCTCTGTTTTAATACTATAAAGTTGCGTTTCAATAATCATTCTTATTGGCAGGTGGAGCCCGTAAGAGTTAACCTGAGCGCCATTGTATGTTACCTACTGCGCTCAAGTTTCAAGTTGCGAGTTATAGTAAAAGTTTCTTTTAAAATTCTCTGTTAATATACATATATAGGTCACAATAATTAMTTAATTTAATTTGAAGTTATAGTGGTTTTTAAATAGGTGAAAAAATGGGGACGCTAAAAAAATATTTATTCTCAAAGTGGGAAGTAGACAAAATAAGTTTGAGAACCACTGCACTATAGCAATGCTAACCTTTTACTCATATATTAGTAAAAATAAATCGCGAAAATAAAAGATACTTATTTAATATTGAATATAAAACTTTTATTTGTAACAGTAAATCATGTACTGTAGGTACAAACGTTTTACAAATAATATGTATGCTCGAGTACTCATAGCAAATCAATAAGAATATGTAAGAACTGATTCTTTGCAAAAATAAAATATATTATAAAGGTAATTTCAACTCAACCGCTGAAGTCAATGGAACTAGTTATAGAATTGATAGCAAATGTACGATAAAAGCGGGCAAAAATTTTTTTTTTTTTGTTAACACGACATAGCAATTAAATAAATTAGCACTTTGTTGCTGTCAAAATATATTATTACATAGTAAATAAGCAAGCATACCAACAGCATATAATAGTTCTGGTAGAGTATACCACTGGTAAAACACAACATCATGTAGCAGGGCCTGCTTTTTGTCTAATTTGTGCATTGTATTTATAAACATATGTTTATTTGTATTGTAAGGCATATATGTAAGTTTGTAGATAAGCTTAGGAAGAACCATTTTTATTTTTTCAACATCAAATATGTGCAAATGCATTAAGGCAGAAAAGCTAATGTGTGGATGCCGAATATTATTGTGTCGTCTTGCATATATGCTTATAACAAAAAAAATTTCGTATATTATGGATAACGTTGCATAATTATTATTTAAACAAAGTACTGATCTCTAATTCACAGGATACAGGAACTAAGTAAAATTTTTTTAAAGCAGCTTAATATGGTAAAATAACTTGATATTTAATTTATATTTCTTTTATTTTTCATTCGTTGTCCTGTTAGAAAAAGCGACACCGATGCAAAAATTTGTATGATTATACATATGTATGTTTGTAATTATATACTTCTGGATTTGTATATATGTTTCCTTTACGTTTAGCATTTTCAAATATTTTGTTCCATTAAACCTGTTACATTATCCAATTATTTGTATGAAAAGGCATATAAAAACATAAACTTAAAGCTATTACAAATTAAAGTTAAAAATTAAACTGGATTTCATTATAACAGTAACATAATAACTTATGTAAAAAGATAAATTTTAAAGTATTAGTAATAATGTATAGCCCTCGACACAAGTTTATATGCATATTTCGTACAAATGCTTTTGAAATGTTTAGAAGAAACGTTTAATTTGACTTACTACATATTTATTTTGCAGTCCCAATTAATATAATTAAATGTATGTAAAAAGACAGCATGAGACAACAATAAAAAGAATTTTTGGTGGTGTAATTCTTAGCGTATGTGGCGAGTGTTTTGTTGCTGTACTTAGCGTTCTTCAAATATCAAAGCGAAATGTGCTCAATTTATGGCAATTTATCAATATTTCATATTTTCCATTACAACGATTCATAAAGCTAATAGAAGAGAAGTTAGTTACTTATATTTAATTATACTTAATATTCTAATGGATGTACTCGAATGCTCGTAATTATGGATATATGCACTGTGGTTGTGTAAAAACATTATACGTTAAAGGTGACTTCAGCACTTTAACTCAAGTTGTTGCTGTTTATTTCGTTGAGCAAACTAGTATAGTTAATCCGTTGTGCTTGTAAACTTTTAAATTTGTGAACGCATGCGTGGGCGTGGTAAATCGCCGAACACTGCTTCACCATGCACACTTTTGGCGAGAGCTTTAATGCTCGCAGCAATGTCGACCGTATTGTCCAAGTCCTATATAAAGAAAAAAATAATTTGATAAATTATTAGAGCTCCGATACAAATATCTGTGTGGCTCACGTCTTCTTGCAGCGCGTTCACGTATGAGCGTCCTGTAGTCATTGGTGAATTTGCTATTTCAATTGGCAGACTCTTCGCAAAATTCATGACATCAGCTGCGGTAGCTGCGTCTGGCCGCTGTTGCCCGCCAACAATTGGGCGTGCACTCGTAGGTAAGGGCATTGTACTATCCAGGTCCAGAGCCACTAAAATAAAATAAATTAATAAGTTTAAGAAATTTCATTTTATTGAGATACAACAGTATATTTATATACTGTATATAATTTACCTTCCGCTTCAGCAGCGTCATCGTCACTTTCGTCTACATCGCTCATATCCCGGCCGTGATAGTGGTGATGTTGATGCTGGTGCGGATGTGGATGATTATTAAGAGATCGTTGTTGCTGTTGATATGGCAGTTTTTGTGACAAATTAGATACGAGCGCACTAAATGGCGTGTTCACACCAACACCGCTTGCCGAGCTACCACCGTCAATGCCTTCCAGTTCGAAGAGACAGTCGTCGCCTACTTCCACTGTTGGCGTGGGGAACTGTTGTTGAAAGGAGTTGGACGCAATGCGTACAAATTGATGTTGTGTCAGAGACGAATGTTGCTGTTGTTGCGGCCGGAAGGTGGGACTGTTACCCACACTCATTGGTGTGGCTTCTGGTGTTGCCGGTGGTGTATCAAAGCTCGACAAACGACGATTAATACTGCCGCTACCCACGATAGTGGTCGTCAATCCTGTGTTCGTCGTTGATGGCGTGAGTGCTGTTGTACCACCTGCTCCCTGAGTTATTGTTGTATCCATGGCACTGGTTGTTGTAGTAGCCGTTGTTGTGCTCAACGGCAATGAAAGCATATGTAATCCACTTGTAGGATTCGGTGTTGTCGGTGTAGTGGGTGTCGTAACAGACGTCATATCGCGACGACTACTAATCGTATTGCGGCGACGTGACACGTAATTGCCCCCACCAACCACTTCCAATGCTGGCAGTGCACGGTCTAAGAAATCGATTGCTTGTTGTTCTGGTACTCGTTGAATTAGACGACCAAGTAATGCATACTCCTGTTCGGATTTTTCGCGGAAGCTCTTTAACAATGCAAACTGTTGCTCAGTAAAGCGTTGTATGCGCTCGTCCGTTTCGGCGATTTCACGTTTGAGTCGTTGTTGCAAGTTTTGTTGTAATTGACGCAAACGTTGCTGCTTCATATCCAGTTGCAGTGACATTGCCGATAAAGAACCAACTGAAAAGTTGTTTAATGGACCAGCATTCCCCTGCTCCAGCTGCAATTGTGGATGGTCCATGATAAGTAGGCCAAAAGTATCGGAAAAGGATTTATCAGCACGTCTCAGTGCCAATTCCTCGTTATTTGTAAGTAGCGAACAATTAATTAGAAATTGCGGTGGGTTAATTGTAAGTGGTACGGGTACACCGTTCGATGACGCACTTAGCATTTGCGTGGGCAAACGTTTGGCGCAAAGCGCCGTATTGCAATTAATGCATATGCTTAGCTGCCAGGAATGCGTAGAAGGATTTTCTTGCCCAGTTGGCACTTCCAGTGTTATACTGTAGACCAAATCCCGTTGACTTAACGTATGGATACTGAGATCCGTTATAGGACCAATAGCCTAATAGAATGAAGAGAAATACAATATTAAAAAATCTTAAATATAATTTCTGTTTAAAGATCAATCTAATATTGTTCGCCTATTGGAAAAAGCTCAGTTTATCTCTGAATTTTTAGTGGTGGATTAATTTTACCAAACGCTATTTTGGATAGCATGTCGAGAATGTGATTCACACGTCACATAATACAACACACAACTTAAAATTTAATTAACCTCAGCAAATGCAAATATAAAATTAATATAACTTCCAAGCTGTGCTTATAAGAAGTGCTGAATTTTCAATAGGTCTTGAAGGTCTCGTTGATAATATTTTATCATTCAATTAAAAAAAATTCAAAGCTAAACTACCAATAGCTGAGGAGTAATAAAAGTTATTTCAAATAAGATAACTTTTAAATTTGGCCCGTGCTCATTGTCAATTTGTTGAATGTCTTTTTGCTGATCAAACCAAAATTCACATAGATCAAAATGTTTCTCAACTTTGTGGTTTTTGCATTTCGCAAATTAAGCTGTTCATATTATTTTTATCTATATTCACACAATTGCACATAACTATTAATAAACGCATACATACATAATTCGGAATTAATGAAAAGTATGATAAAAAAATAACACGCGTCTACTGCCTGATCAAGAAATTTAGCCTCCTCTGATCATTCTAACCACACAAAATATAGCTAAACGAAAAAACTGCTTATTAATGTATGTAGATCAGCATAAGTTTAAATTTTCTGTGACATAGTCAAAAAATATAATAATAACTTGTATTTAAAATTATTTGGCACAATTAAGCAGCATGTTTCATATGATAACCAAGAAAAGTATTACTAGTTTATAAAACTAAAATAAAGTTCATTATTGTTATGGCTTATTTTTATGTATACACCTTATTATTTTTTTTTTTATATGCTCATATTTTTTACATTAAGATGTTTTTTATGAATTTGTTCTTTAATAACGCAGCGTTTTTTTCTACATATATATATAGATATGTATCAAGTGCTGGAGCAATTTTGATTTCTGCAGAAAACATTTTAATTTGTTTTGTTTGCATTATAAAAATATTTAATTAGGCATTCGTTGCTATTTTAGAGTGGTACACGCGCGAGCACGAGCATTCAAGCTACATAATATAGGAATTGTTTACTTTTTCGAAAAGGCAAAGAGTCGAAAACAAGTTTTTTTCTGTTTTTGGTCAATACATTAGCATAAACAGCACTTGTTTCAAAATGCATAAAGTATAGCGTGTGCAAGCGGAACTTTGGCCAAAAGGTTGTACAACATTAGATTAGGGTTTTTTAGGAAGATTTGAGATAAATTTTAGTATAAATTTGTTAAATTAAAGGCAAAGCTGGTGGCGAGTGTTTAAAACTATAAGTATAGTATATTGCAATATATGTATATTGTACACATATGTATATGAACGCATATGTGTATACTTTTATGTAAGTAAATACTCAGCGCTTTAGGCATGGTCATGGCATCTTTACACATTATATATAGATATTTATTTCCCTTATTGTAAAAGGATAGAAAAGCAAATACAATATTTTGCACTGAGGTATTTCTTTACTTAATTTATTATACGGCACCGATGAAATTAACTAAAAAGCATGCCGCTTTGGATATTTATTACTCTGATGAAGATGGCAGAATCTATGATTTTTTATAATGTGTAATAAATAACTTATATCGTTATAAGAATACAAATATTTCTTTGCTTAAGTTTGGAGGATATATTTTTACGCTAAATTGTTGTTGATGATGCAGACAACTTATATTGATATAAAAAAATCCTTTGCAATTAACTGAAATAGTTTTTATTATTTTACATTATGTGTTTTCATACTGACGTCAGTTTATTAGAAAAAAGAAATATGTCTTACAATCCAAATGATTTCCTTTCTAAACAGCAATGAATATTTTCGATTGTGGTGACCTTAAAATTTAATATTAATGTTACGAGGTGTTTGATTATAATTTATCATGTCCAAATTTATTCGAGCAGAAAATTGAAGTACTATAAAAAATCATATAAAAACAAATAAGGAAGGGTTAAGTGCAACCTAACAATTTTATATACACACACATTAAATATATAGTAACTCATACACTGACCGACATATTTGACATAAGGTTTGTTGGAAAAACGAAAATCATTACATGCAGTGTGTGGAGTGCAGTGGAGTTGCGGTAGTACCGACCCGATTTTATCTATCAACTATTATCATGTTATATTCTAAAAAATCTTCCTTGGGTTTTATTAAAATGCCTTATATGCAATTTCCAATCATATGGAGTAAAGTTTTCACCCAATTATATTTATTTTAGGCACAAAGATATACTGTTATGAGTAAAACACGTTTTGTAATTTTCATTGAGATATAATATAAAATCACCTGGAAGTTCAAAAATCTTTATATTAGGTATGTGGAGCTGAGGGTAGTATTGATCCGATTCAACCCATTTTGGACATACAGACATACTATTCTAAGAAAAGGATTATCCCTTAGTTTCAGTTAGATATATCACATATTGACCGACATTTTCAATCATTAAATCAAAAGTCAACTATAGGTATAGGTCTTGGACAGTTTTTATTGGACTTAAACAATTTTTGACAAAAGGTTGCACTCACCTAAGATATTATTCGTGTTTTATATATTAGTGTAGGTAGCAGCGGTATAAAAATATAAATAAAAGCCTACAAAAACAAGAAACACATCCTAATATACTTAGATATATGTAAGTATGTATATTAGGATCATGATACCGATGTGATAGATCATATAACTTATCAAAATTTTAAAAGAAAAAAAGCATACTATAAACGTAAAATAACATTTCATAATACGCTTTTATGTTAAGTTACTTGATTGCGCTCTGCAATAACATGAGTTGTGGTTAAGGGGAGAGGTGGGTTTGAAAATAAAAAAAACTCGATTTTTGTTTTTGTCTTAATAATATGTTTAAAATATTCTCCAAAAAGTTTAAATCTATACCAGTAAACTTCTATGAGATGGACTATTCGGATGTTCAGCTCATCACGCCACGTCGGTGTAGCGGATTGCAGGCATAACGCGGTTTTTTCAAAACTCTATTTTCGAAGTCGGTGGACACGATTTCTCGAAAAGTTATGGACCGATTTAGTTCGAATTGTGTAGTTATTGAACGAAAATTTATTTTCATTATAATTTATTTGTTTTGAGTTTTTCAATTTTAGATGAACCAATAACAAGTTATGCTGTCCACGGCGAGAAGACTTTTTTGTGAGCCATTATATCAAAAATTCAGGAGACATTGTTCAAATATGTAGCTTTGATATTCCACATTATATTTTTATACTCTCGCAACAAAGTTGCTAAAGAGAGTATTATAGTTTTGTTCACATAACGGTTGTTTGTAAGTCCTAAAACTGAAAGAGTGAGATATAGGGTTATATATACCAAAGTGATCAGGGTGACGTGATGTCTGCCCGTCCGTCCGTCCGTGCAAATTGTAACTTGAGTAAAAATTGAGATATCATGATGAATGGCTCCATAAGAAAGTTAAGTTCGAAGATGGGCAAAATTAGCCCACTGCCACGCCCACAAAATGGCGAAAACCGAAAACCTATAAGCGGGCTCGACCCCGCCCCCTACTAAGTTTTTTGTACATATCTCGGAAACTACTATAGCTATGTCAACCAAACTACAGAGTTGTTTCATTCAGGCATTTCCATTTACAGTTCAAAAATGGAAGAAATCGGATAATAACCAAGCCCACCTCCCATACAAAGGTTATGTTGAAAATCACTAAAAGTGCGTTAACCGACTAGCAAAAAACGCCAGAAACACTAAATTTTACGGAAGAAATATCAGAAAGAAGCTGCACCCAGGCTTYTTTAAAAGTTGAAAATGGGCGTGGCGTCGCCCACTTATGGACCAAAAACCATATCTCAGGAACTACTCGACCGATTTCAATGAAACTTGATACATAATAGTTTCTTAACACCCTGATGACATGTACGAAATATGGATGAAATCGGTTCACGACCACGCCTTCTTCCAATATAACGCTATTTTGAATTTAATCTGATGCCTTCCCTGTATAATATATACATTAGGAACCAATGATGATAGCGGAATAAAACTTTACACAAATACGGTATTTGATGCGAGAGTGTAAAATGTTCGGTGACACCCGAACTTAGCCCTTTCTTACTTGTTGAAATATATGGCTGTTTACATTAAAACAAAAAAAAAAAAAAATCGTAAAACACCTTTTTTTTGTACCTCCGAAACTCACCTAACCCCTTAATTACTGGAATTGGTGAAATAAAGAGCATAAAGCGAAACTGATCAGCTTTTATAAGATTGTATAATTTAACTGCATAAGCATATATTTCATGCGTTCCCACAACATTGCAGTCTATGAAAACGGAGCATATCATGGTTTCCGCCAGCAAAGGACTGCTACTCATAACATATTAGGAAATATTTTATATCGCAATACCACAATAAAAACGGATTTTTCTGTTGCATTTACTATTTCAATTTCGATCAAATAACGGTAACACAAAAAATCCTATACGATTTCAAAAGTTAAAAAAACTTAATATTTATATTGCATTTAACATTTGTTATGCCAATTAAGTTTTTAACGTCGTTATTTATCATTATTTTTACATGCAACAGCTAACTGCCATAACAAAAGGAAAAGTCATTGAACGCTAATGTCGCAACATTCATACAAAAGCATAAGCAAGGAAAACGCAGCCTATAGTGCTGTGTGCGTGGAACTATTTGTAAAAATATGTATGTATATTCTTCCACCATGTTGCATAGCGCAGAATAGCTTTGTTCACTTAGATGTGGTTTGTAACACCATAAAAAAATCAAATTGCATATGAGGTTAGATCTAAGTATTCCCAAAATGAGGTTGATCCAAGTATCTGACAATCTAAAGATATAAAAAAAAAAACCGGATGGAACTAATCGGGCGGCTACTGTATACGGGGG